TTGTTCTTTTTGCTAACCAGTTAATGTGTGATTGATAGGCCTGGGAGCCCAGTGGGGGGAGGGGCATCTTTTAGAAACATCTTAATTAGAAACATCTTATTGTGTAATCCAACTGGTACACAAATAGGATGAAAGTGCTTTGCCAACATTAAAATGTGCAAACTAGACAGTGGACACACTGGCTGACATTTTACAATTCTCTGTCAGAAAGCTGACTGGCTGTCAGCTGTAAGCATAATGAATGCGGTGCAAGAGCTTTTTCTCCCACAACAGAACAATGGAGTGGGTTGTAGAATAAACACCTAGACCTGTAGTTTTCATCTAAATACTTCTGGGAGGTTGCTATTTCCTTAACAATTATTTCCTTGAATTATCTAAAACTATAATTAGTTTAAAATGTAATCTTTTCATTGGAGAGTGAATGAGTTCATCAGCAAATGTTTACAGAAGCACTTATGTTGCTGCTGTAAACCTTTCAGCAGTTTAGCGAAACAAATTCAATTCAGTTGCCCTACAATTAGCATTGCACTGTAATCACATTACTATACTAAACTCAACAGCCACATTACAGTTACAATAATGTCACTATCTGCACAATGGGTGCACAAAGATATCAAACATGTGTTTTTCATCCTGCACATCTGTGCTACATTGAGCTTATCTCAGACATGTGCAGAGATGAGGAAACGCAGGACTTTGTGTAAACACAAAGCTAGTAAAGAACAGTGTTATTAAAGCAGAGTGTATGCAGTGTGTGTCAAATATAAACACAAAAGGAGTGTGTTTGCCTATTTGTGTTGAATTGTACACAGAATTCTTTTTTTTTTTAATTTGAGAATCACGTTTAATTTCGTTTTTATTGCAGTCTAACTCAGCTGCCTAATTAGGGTACAAACTACACACTGCAAGCAAACTGCAAATTATAAGCTTAAATTTGAATCTGCAGACTTCAGTGTTTGCCAGGCAAATTAATACTCAAAGTCTCTTTTGCATGTGAGCTCCACACTGCACAACACAGCATCAGGCAGATCCAACGGGGGGAAAATTTTGAAGGAAACTTGTTCTTATGTCTCAGGTAATCCTTAAAAACCAAGGAGTCTGGTACACTATCATTTACAAGCATCTGTTTATATTTCTTAAGCCCTGTGTGAGAGAACAAAGAGGGCTTCTAGGCTTTCCCAGAGCAACATTGTGTGAGGTGAGCTGCTGAAATACAAGGAGGCCTAGCAGTTATCTCACTGAGAGCTAATTCTCACTACGTCTTATCTGATATACAAAAGCCAAAGCTCTTGTTCTTGGGAACAACTTTGATACAAAGCCGTGAGATGACATCTTTAAGTACATTTTCTGTTTTGTTTTCTTTGTTTTTTCCTTACTTACATCTACCTTATAGTTCGGTAACATTCCTGGTTCTACCAGAATATGCTTGCTCTTGAAACAAGTAAATGTGCTTGGCTTCATAGACTTGAAGTTAGTAAATACAGGCCAAATCATTTTACTGGGAATCTACAGAACTTTTGTTTTATCAGCGAGAAAAAAAAACATCTATTGAGTACTTTAACAACCTGGGAAAAGGTTAGGTCCCCTTTGGTAAAAATAATAATTTGGCACAACCCAGCTCACAATGACAATAAATCCCAAAGCACTCGCATAAATATAATGTGTAGGTACCAACAACAATAATTATAATCTCGCACTAAGGAGTTCACCATGTTAAATCTTCTAAAGAACAAAGTTTCAAACCTTTCTTGGTAGTGGTGAAGTACTTGGAGTCCGTCATCTTGGATCCAAATTGTCGATTCTCCTGCAAACGAATGACAGGATGAGAAAGATGATAGCGAAATCTTTTCCTGACTGGAAACTTGGAGCATCACGAGAACAACAGGAAATACTAGAAATGCAAGCACAGGGAAATAAAAGGAATTCCTGTCTTCTCCTGAATAAATGGTAGGGATCTATCGGAAATCAAAACAATGGATTCTGTTAAAAAAAAAAAATCAGACACTAATATCTTCTCTTTACAAAAAATAAAAAATAAAAATCATCTTGGTCAGCACGTATGGGGCCAACAATAACTCTTGTCAGCCAACATTAAATGTTTTCTTCTGGGTATCATTAGCTATACTTCCTCATCCCGTTGCCCTTCAAGGCACCATTTCATTTTATTTTTACTTTTCTTTTAAGTTTAAGGTACAAAGATGCCTGCTTAACACATTTCAGAGAAAATTGTAAAATATTAAAATACTATTGGAAAAATAAAACCTGTGTTTTTACATGAAATTTTGACATTTTTGGCTTATGGACAGCTGGTCGTTTTTAGGAGGTCTCCACAACAGATCATCTGCCTCCATCTCACCCAATCCCTAGTATCCTCCTGTCACACACTCCATCCATAAATCTCGTCTATAGTCTCCGTCTGTTCATCCTGCCTGGAAGCTTCATATTCAGCATCCTTTTCCCAATGCATCCACATCACCTCAGCCTTCTTTCTAACTTTGACTCCAAACTGCTCGACCTGAGCTGTCCCTCTGATGCACTCTTTACTAATCTTATCCATCCTGGTCAATCTAAATGAAAAGCCACGTTTAATTCTGCCACCTTTAGCTTGGCCTCCTGTCTGTTTTTGTCAATCCCGCCATATTTTCTTTCTGTTGTATTCTGTCACTAATCAGCCCTGACATCTCAACTACACCCATTCCACCCTGCCTGCACCATCCTCTTCACCTTTCTTAAGCACTGGCCAATGTTTAGGTTGGCGTCAGGTATTTAAACTCAACCACCTACACCTAGTAGCTTAACTGGACAGCAGTTTACGTTTAACATATATATGGCTTGTTCATACTAACATATGTGGAATTTGTCTCTTTAAAGTCTTTCTGATATGAAAATAAGTTAGTGTTTCCTTGACTATGCACCGAATATCTATTATTACTGTGTTACAAATATTAAAAATACTGCTGCAGTGAATAAACAAACCCATAATGATTTCATTAATCCCACTTATATTCAGTTCAGTCAAATGGTAGAACACAGAAAGAGAGAGAGAAAATTCCTTCACAATATTCCGTAAAATAACCCTTTAGGCTCTTCAACACACGTCTACATTTATGAATGAATCCTGTTCGACTGACATGTTAACTTGTTATTAATGGTACTGAAATACACATTAACTAGAGCACCGGGTTTCAGGTACCAGTCGACATCCGACAAGTCGCTAACTAGCCACAGGTTAACCAAAACCGATCCCAACTGTCGACGTAGTTAGCAATACGTTAGCCGATTATGATCCGTTTGTACGATAAAGCACACTGCTACCGCCCTAAATTGACACCGAAACTCTTACGTAGCTTCTGATCTTACAACATAAGTATTTAACAAAAGCTGTCGTTAACTTACACCGCTAGATAAAACACAAAGTTGAGAAAATGTTCTCTAGCTGGCTAGCATTAGGCTAGAACAGCATTAGCATAGCTGGCTCGAGTCTGTACGAAAGAAGGCACACGTAGTTGAGTAGTTAACCCAAAATGAGCTAAATTGCAGCCGATATTTGCGCATTTAAAAGTGCATTTCAATCCACTACTCACGCATAACTGATTTGCCCACTCCTGCATGTTTGCAGCAGTTAGAGTAGATGAATGAAGCTAATGCTAAAGGATAGCAGCCTGGTGCAGTGTGCCTGTCAGTGTCAGCTAGCGCCTGACCACTTCTCTGGCTAGCAAAGCTGAGACATGACCTTCTAAGTAGGGACTTAAGGAAGCCTTTGCCGGGATAGTTAAGCTCTTAATCTGTCGGGGTAATTAAGACCTTACTCAACGAATTAGCGTACCTTCTGGCGTCAAAATTAAACTCGCCATACAGTGAATTCAGCAAGCACAAATATCTTACCGTGACAAGCGTAGCAGTTACTGTGATGGCCTTCGTCCCCTCCTACTTGATTTACTTCCGTCTTTTAACAAAATAACAACAGGCAGGCAACGTCAGCTCTCATTCATACAGGGCTGGTCATAATGAGACAAAGAAATTCAGGAACTTTGTCAACGCTGTGCGCTTTTCTTTTCAGCTCCAATCCGGCTACTTAAATCTACATACAGAGTAGGTAACTAAATATTCACTTTCATTAAATAAATAATTCAGACAGTTATCGTAAGAGCAAAGGATGTGTAAATAAGGTGAGACCCAGTTTTCAGTTTATTGGGAAGTTGAGAAAAAACACTACCTAAATACAATAAATAAAATCTATGGCCTAAACCTTTCAACTGATAATATTATGCCAGTGTTTCGTGTATCAGTTTATACTGTATTGAGATAGCAAGTGTTTATGTGCATAGATGAGGCGTTAAATGCGAAATACTAATTTCTACAAAAAGATAGCACTTTGGTCCACTGTTGCATGACAGCAAAAAGGTCCTGCTGTCCAGTCATCTCTGAATGGTCTACATTCTCTCCCTGGGTACCATATTCTAAAGACATGTCAAGTTAACTGGTGATTTTAAATTCTTGGTGTCAATGGTTATCTGTGCCTCTTGCCCTATGACAGCTGGGATGGGCTCTAGCTCCTAGGGCTCTAGTTTCCAGACTGACTAAACACTGGAAGGTTTGCTATAACAAAGGTTTAATACAAAAACGTCAACAGTTTACAATATTTTTGAATCTATAATTATATAAGACTATATAGGGATTAGCTGAATTATTTTATCCAAATAAATAGTAATAAAAATTGAACATTTCAAGCACATTGTGAGGAGAAACAACTGCAGCATTTTAACTCCATTTTGAACGTCACAAAGCAAAATCTGCAGGACGCATTGCCATATTTAGTCGTGTCTTACTTATGCAACAAATTATTTATTATGTACAAAAATATAGTGAGTAGCACTGTGCATGAAGAATAACAGAAGCACTTCTTTGCTTTTCTCTAACATGCACTGTAGCACAGAAAATCCAGTCACTGCTGTGCCAAAAGCTACACATGAAAAAATGGCCAGAGTATCATCATAAACTTCAGAGCAAAAGATTTATTACAAGAACAACTTGACAGCATTTTCAAATTCAGAAAAAAAACGTGAAACATTGTAGTATTGCTATTTCATACACACAAATTCCACAATGTCAAGCAATCTGTACATTTAACCAAAGTTTTAGTGAAAATGGCATCTGATCACAAACATTCGGATTTTGCTGATTGGGGCAAAATCCGAATGTTTATGAGCATTTCATAAAATCCTCTGTAGGCAGAAAGAGCGGATTAGGACAATCAATCGTTTTAAGATTATAGAAATCATGGCTCAGTTAGCCTGTACATTTAAAACACCAAATAGGTGTTCGAACAAGCCAAAACAGATGTAAAATAAAAAGAATTAAGAGTACATGTGTAATGTGTTTATACACGCTAAACTGCCCACCGGCTACATATTGCAATCAATGTCGCTCTAACAATACTGATACATCATGAATCATTTGTAGCAGTGGGGAGTCAGCACATGATAAAATTACTGTATCTTTAAGAGATGGGACACCATATAAATAAGTTCACTTTGCCTTCAAATCACTCTCATTTTTAACTGACAACATTTCCACTGATTCTGTCTGTTGTCTCGAACTTGAGAAACAGATGTCATATGAGCCCATGAAAGCTGATTTCATAAATAAATAAATTAGACCAGCACTACTTCCCTCTTTACTTCAAATCTGTACATATTCCCATACAGTATGTACATAAAGATATACACACGCTCCATTCCCGGGCCATGCTCTTTTAGTGTCCAGCAAAAACAATTTTATCAACATTTTCTTTTCTTTGCCTCCACATTGTGTGGAAAACAATCATCAAATATTAATATCAGTTTTTCCTTCACTCAAAATCAGAAGCTCTTGAGATTCTATGGTTTCTGCAGCCCGCTAAACAGTACAACCGCTTTCCAACTTTACACCCTTCAACACATGCAAAATACCAAAAAAGCTAGTAATGCAGGCTCTGTAGCTGGAGTCTGGCTTGTCATATTGATGACAATTGTGTGAGAGCTTCACAAAGTAGGCTCAGTTTCCAGTTACAGTATCCATTATTCATGCACCCCTGCACACATGCAGACACTCGAGTTAAAGCCAGTCAGTCTTCATCTATCAAACCTTACCATGTCATACCAGACCATTATTGGCTCTAATCAGCACCAGGACATTTCAGTATCATATCAAGACAACATTTTCTACCACTGAATAAAACATTTCTCTCTTTTTTTTTGCCACTAGATGTCACCATAAATTGTGCCATATTATTGAAATCCCTCTGTTAAATAGGCAATAAACAACCAAGGGTATTCAGAGGAAATACATCATATATATGGTTTTCATTATTTGCACATCCACCTCAGGTATAACTTATAAATGAAACTGGCTGGTAATGCTTTTTTTCTCTCCTTCACATTCACACCCAAACTGTCCAATTATTATAAACAGTTAAAGATGGCAATGTAGTGTTACCTAACAGATCTTAGTGATGTTTAGCTAAAAACATTCCAAAAAAATTAACCTGTGAAAAATTGTTTAAGGCAAAGGGAATTTTCAAGGCATTTTCAACACCAGTATTGCATAGCTAAGGCTGCACAGCACTGAATACAGTGAATATGTACATTAGACTGTATATTCCAAGCCTTGTCTTTACAAAATACCCACTCTCAGCATGTATTTACACATTCATTCTCCTTAGCATTTAATTCCAGAGTACAGTTTGGTCAGAGGAGGAACTCAACATTTCAAATGTCAGTGACAACTATATAAAGTAATATAACCTTCCTCCATGCTCCTCATATTTTTGTTGTACACTCAATGCATTTAAATTAAACTTTTTAAAATTTTACTGCATCAAACATAATCTTAAAAACCGGTAAGACATTAAGCATTCAAACAAAAAGCATCTATCTTGTCTAGAACAGCTTATTATCATGAAAAGCTGACATTGTTAAATAATAACATGAAACAACTGTACAGAAACTGGTAGTGCGCATAATGTTCATAGAGCCAGAGATGAGTGTACCTTAGTCTATGTTACTGATTATTGTAATGTGAGTATAGTGAGTCATATATGAATGTGGACAGACTGAAAACATCACAGTCATCATGCCAGTATTTTCACTATAAGGCAAGCAGAAGTGCTATGGCAAACCACAAGAGGGAGCCAGTCTGCATGACTCAAGGACTAGTGTTTACATCAACCCCTGGCACTTTACCATGCCCCCTTAGTGAGGCACATGGCAGCACATATGCTCTCGGTTTCTATTTCTGTGTATCAACCGTGAGAATTTCACTAGTGACTTATAAAAAAAAAAGAAAGATTGGCAAAAGCATCCCCATGCACACATTAAAATTAAAAATTACAGTAACTTAAAGACCATTCCTTTGGTAATAAATAATTTGGCTTGAGTGCAAAAAAGCAATGTGAAGCCCTGCAGTTATTCAGGGGAGAACCTAAATGGAGAAAAAAGGAGCGTTTGACATGCAGTAAAAACAGTCTGTCCGTAGCTCATTTTTATCTTGTTGGGTTTTTTTGTTTTTCTCTTTTTTAAACACAGTAGTTAAAGTTCATGACAACAACCCCCCTCCCGTGTACTACCCACAGTTTCGTTTTGTGCTACATCCAAGCTTCAGTGTCCACGCTGCCTGACTGTGTAGGGTAGGCGCAGTCTTTGTTGCTCATGGCTGAGGAACGAGGATGAGGATGGATCATATCAGCGAAGGCCTGGTGCAGGCCCTTGCATGTGGCTTGGCGACTGGTAGGATGGGAGCTCTGAGGAGACAGCGGTGGGGTGTGGCAGGGGGAAAGAGTGTTGTTCGTCTGCAGGTCTCTGTAGCTGACGGGGGTGGGTATGCGCGAGGGGCCGTTTTCGGGCCTGTTGTCAGTGCGGGGCCTGAATCGGGTCCCCAGTTTGTGCTTAGGGATTGGGTCAAGCCTGTTTGCTCTCTTTGGCCCTTTCTTAGCCTCCAGCATTTCTCCATCAGCGTCCCCGTTAGTCAAGGGCAAATTTGGTGGAGGTGACTCGGAGCGGGATTCGCTCAAGCTGAAGCACATGGAAGAGTTTTCACTTGAGGAATCCTGGAAGGAGCAGTCCTCAGAGAGGGGAAGGGGAAGAGATGATGGACAATCCTCAGAGGCTGGGAGGTCAACACTCCCGTCACCATTTTCCATGTCATAAGGTAAGTCTGGCTGGTGATTTTCCAGTGGAACATCTCCTTCAGGCTGTGTGCTCCAGCCAAGAGGACCCTGTTGATCTATCATCCCCCCTTCAGTAGGGGATGATAGATGATGTTCTCCATTCATATTCCCACATTGAAAAGCAGGTTGCGAGGAAATGTCATTCATCAAACTATCTGACTCTGTGTCTTGAAGTCCAGGCAAGGAAGAAGTGATTTCTCTCTCTTCCATGGAGCTGGAGATAGCTGGGAGCTTCTTGTGACCCCCTCCACACTCCCCCCAGTGTTCAGGCTCTCCTTGACTAAAGTTGTGTGGTCCCCCAAAATTGTGTCCAGAAAGTAAATTTAAGGGGTCCTCCAGTGGGAAGTGACGAGGGTTAGTTCTCTTGGATTCCCTGAGGTCAGGAAGAGTTCCCATCTTGGCCCCCACATTCAAGGAGGAGGTGGATGAGTTGGAAGAGGAATAGGCAGAGTCATTGACATTAAGATCAGTGAGTACTGCTGCCGGATGCATCCCAGCTCGCTGCAAGGTGATTCCACCAGGAGCTTTATTAGACACTGCTCTAGCCTGCTGTGTATTGGCAAGATACTCGGCCTCAAAGCTGCGATAAAGATCATGCTCCCTCTGGGGGTCTAGTGCTGGCAGTAACGGGAAGCCAAAGCCCAGCCCTTCCTCCTCGGGTTCCTGGCATTCCAGACCGGATGCGTTCTTATAGTGGCCTCTCCCAGCAGAGCGGGAGCCCTGTGAGGTCCGAGAGGAGCGGGCGGCATGATGATGAGAGTTGCGAGGAGATGAGTGTGGTGAACGTCGCCCCCCTGATGTCACAGGTGGTAACAATCTGCCTTTTCCTACGGAGGGTGAGCGAGGGGCAGGAGGCCTAGGAGTAGTTATGGTCTTCTTGCTGGGACTACTGCTATTGTTACTCTGGACCCCTTTAATGGGTGAGTTAGAGCATGAGGACGATTGCCTTTTGGAAAACCCAGCAGCCATTCTCGGAGAGGATGGGGGTAGTTGTTTGGCCCGAATATCTTCTCGTCTCTCTGAAGGTGGAGGCTGAGGATCTCTGTAGGAGAGAGCGGGTCCTGGGCTGGCATCACTGGACCGAGTACGGCTGGTCAACTTACTCTGGCTGTGGGACCGTGGACCAAGAAGCCTCCTTGGGCCCTCGTTTCCAAGAGAGCGGCCCCTTTCTGTTCGAGGCATCCGTACTCCTTCAGGGGAATCTTGAGGTGGGTTGGGTTTGAGTATCGGTGTGAGTGCAGAGCGTTCCCGTGACTGGCTGCGTGCACGAGGGAGTGAGGGACGCAGGGATGGGCTCTGACTTCCGGCTACAGGCCTCTCGATCATATGTTTCCCCTGTTTACGATTGACAAGCAGTACTACTTCTTCACCCGAGCGCCGTGAAGCACCCCCAAGAGACTGGCGCCCCCCGCCTCCTCCTCCTCCTCCCTTAGAGGAGGCCGTAGAGGAGTCACTGTCACCAGACAGACGTCTTGTTAGTGGTGTAATCGTCTCCTTATTCCTGGAACATAAGCAAGAAACAGATTAATTTATATTTATAATACCTACCACATCTATAAAAGTAATCTTTTCTTATTGAGTTTGTGTTCATATCCACAGGCGGTACAGACTACACGCCTGTGGTAGTATACAGCCCCCAAGACACCCCCAGATTTTCGGAGTCACCATATTCCTTTGTACCAGCATGTGACCTATAATGTGTAATATGCAGGGATTTTTGAGTATTTCCAACCTGCCGCTGGTGCACACAGACAGCGTGTCCGACCTCAGGCTCATGTGTTTCTTGGAACAGTGGGCAGTGACAGCCAGAGGGATTACAGCAAAGATGAGAACAAGTGGGGGCAGGATTAGAGGTCTCATAGTTTTTCTAGCCCAACACACACCACTGCACTTTCCTGACCAGAACACACTCCACTGTCACGCACCAGCAGGGCCATCGGGTTTAACTGTTTAATCAGCTCAAAGTTCACATTACGGGAAGGAGAAACTTAAATAGATCCCATGAGTATTGATCAACAGAGTGCATACTGCTGGTTATTTAAAGACCTAGCAAAGGCTTTGATATTTGTTTGATGGAAGATTTCAGGCATTCTTACATTTTCTATACAGAACTCAGTCTGTTTCTTAAATAATATTAATAAAGAGTATTTGCGTGTTTTACTGAGCATACCTTGAATTTTCACTTAAAAAATAAAAGCAGCATGAGAAGAAAGCAGACACATTATTTATTACAACTTAAAAAGCCTATAAGACTATTTCACCACAACAGCCCACTGTGTTCCTTTGTTATGACTTTTAATTACTGATTTAGAGAGACTATATGGGCGTCATGCTCGACTTTTGTGGTTATCCTTCAGAAACTATATTTGTGTTTATTCAGGCTTACTAATGTATCTGCATGGAGCCCACCTGTTGACCTACTTCTCCACTTAGCTGACCAGTTGTCTAGGGATAGTTGTCAGATTAGTCTTTATCTTTGAAAGTGGACTCTCCACACACACAGTTATTTGAAATGAGCTGCTGCCTTGACGTCTGGTCTGAGCTATCGCTCATAACAGAAATGAGCTGGATATTGTCTTAGAGCCAAAGTAAACCACCATTCAGATCGTAATTATGTTAAACAAAGGCACCCACACACTCTGACATATTCAAAGGTATGTGGAACATTTTTCCAGCTTCATGGATTTTAGACTTAGAAGACTTTATTTCATCTATTGTCTCTATATCCATATAATAAACGCCATGGATAAAGATCTCAGTATTACCACCCTTTCTCTGATAGGGCACTTCAGAAGCATGAAAACCAGATTTGTGGTTATATTTGACACTGACTTTACGGATCATCTGTTTGCCTTTATATGTAAAAAAAAAAAAAAAAAGGCCAAAGCAACAGTTCCCTCAGAATCTAAGCCATGATAGATGATTAGACATCTAATTTTTAAAATGAAAGGGAATTGAAAAGTCCTTAAGAGAGCTGCTTAAACATTATAATCTCTACCTTGCAGCCACAAGGAGGTGCTGTAGGGTGGCTGTGTGTTACAGATTTATCAGGGCAATGTCACCTGAGATTAGAGAAATCTGCTCTGCTCTAATCTGGGGCTTTCTGGTGTATTTGTTGTGTGTATGCCACTGTTTGTGTGTGCATGTGTGTGTGTCTGTGTGTGTGCCTGTCAACAGACACAAAATCACAGGTCACAAAAATGAGTATTTCTCCCAGGCTACCCATAGCAGATTCATTTCTTATCATCGTATCACACTTACCCACACACTTGCCTGCACACTTGGGCGGACACACACACACTCACCTGAGAGGATTAAAGTGGCGGGGCTCTGAGCGATCTCTTGGCGGCTTTGGGAGAAGACTGCGTGCTGCGCCAGAGTCGAGCTCTAAAGAGTTCTGAGGTCGGCCTGGTCGTGCAGAGGAAGATGACGAGGCACACTGAGCAGAGTGGGGCTCCAGGGACCGCCTGTCAGAAGGTTTATAGGGTGCGATGCCATCATTTCGCCAGTGTGGACC